GGGGGGGGGGGGATGATAACCTACATGCTAGTCACTCTAAGGGATCAAAGGTTAAGTTAAGTCCTCCAATAATGTATTCTATTTTCTGCTCTGCAGTGAGTCAACTTTTTTCTGTTCTGTGATCCCCTCCAGATTATAGTTTTGTGGACAGCTGATGTTCCATTTGCTCATAGTAGAAAATGGCCACAAGTTGGTGTTCCATTGGTGATCGTGAGACCGGAATCTAAGGTACACAGAAAATTACATCAATAGCACTTGACTGCATCTCATGTGCCACTTTTTTGTGTTTATGTCATCTGTGATCTATTACTTAACAGACCTATGGCAACATTGAATCTTTTTGTTAATTATATATGTTATTGTACAGAAAAGTCCACCAGATGTGACTAAGTTTTCGTGTTGACTCTTCTTTACAGACAGGAAACAGTCGTTTTGTGCCCAGAGCAGTGATAGAAACATCTGCAGTTTTGTCCCTAGATGAGGATATCATATTAAATTCTGATGCGGTAAATGTTAAATTATGATCATAGATAATACTCTTTTTTCTCCCAAGATCTCATTAGTAATTCTCACTGCGGTCTGCCATACAGTTCTTAAGATGTTGCTTCAGAGAATTTAGTATATTATCAGCTAATAATCCTCTATTTCATATTTTTCTTTATTCTCATCACTTGTCTGCTTGATGTTGTATTGATAATGTAAGGTGAAATTTTGTCTTGATCACTCATGGGAGTTAGAGGAAAAAACCAAATCCTAGGAGATGCCATACTTGGGAAATGAGAATTCTGTCTTTTATCTAATCCCTGAAAATCACCAACATTTTTTGTATTCTGGCCAGAGCTAAATGCAAAAACCCTGTGGATTGTTGGTAGAACATTAAAACAAAGTAGGAGTAGCTGCAGTACAAACATTCAACAATTTGGTAATTTTGTCGGTAGAACTTCACAAAGATATGTATTCAAACTTATACAGTTCAAAATGACCAAAATGAAGCACACATGATTCCCTGTAACTCTGAGTTTTTTGCTTATGTACTCGTCAGACAGATTTAATGAAAGATTTAATGAAAATAGGTTGTTGTAATCAGCAGCTATCTTTTTTATATATATAAATTAGCCTACAAGAATGTTTTTCATTAAATCTGTCTGACAAGTGTGTAAGCACGAAACTCAGAGTTACAGGGAATCATGCGTGCTTCATTTTAGTCATTTTGAACTGTATTTTGCTCTACACTCATGTGTATTGAGCGCTTTCCAACAGCATTTGCTACAATTTCCCACAATTATTCAAACTTCTAAAAATTTTCAAGTGGTTTGATACTTAACTCCCTGTTACTTTTTCATCCCTTAGATTGATTTTGCCTTTTCAACATGGAGGACATTTCCAGATCGAATTGTGGGTTTTGCAGCCAGAAGCCATTACTGGAACAGTGCCAGATCACAGTGGAGCTATTCTTCCATTTTGAGTGATCAGTTCTCCATTATTCTGACCAATGGAGCTTTCTATCACAGGTAATGTTCTTGCAGAAAATTCTTAGAGAGTAGTTGGATTAGGTTAGAGGCTTTGATTGTTTTTTGACTGAGTTAAATAAAAACTAAAATCAACATTATCACAATGGGTAATCAGAACCAAAGAAAACTTCACAGAGTTAATAAGAACTTAACCCTTTAACTCCCATGAGTGACCAAGAAAGAATTTCTCCTTACAATATCAATATAATATCAACCAGATAAGTGATGAGAATAAAGAAAAAGATCAATTTGGGGATAATAAGTTGATCTAATACCAAGTTCTCTGAACTAACATTATAAGAATTCTGTGGTTGACAGTAAGGAGAATTAAAATTTTGATCTGGGAGTTAAAGGGTTAATGTGATGAAGCAATGCAACTGTACAAGAAACTCAACCATATTGAAAACTGTTCCATAATACATAGGCAGTCATTGAAAGAAAACTATGAAATGGTGATTTCCCTAATGATTTTCTACAGGTGTTAGTAATATATGCAAAGTAGTGAAGACCACCGACCGGAAATAACCATCTGAATAACAACAAGTGAATAATTATGAACAAAATTAACCCAAATGTTTATTAGGCTGTTCAAACTATTCTGCACTTAAAGTATAAACACAAAAACAAAAGCTGCCTGGAGGGATCGGAGTCCAGATAGGCATTTTAACCATTTAATCTCATAATTCTTTGCATTACTTTTGTTTACTGCCTTGCCTGATGGGATGATCATTTACTCCCCTCTCTCCCCTCCCCTCCTGCATGGGATTACCGTATTTACCCGTGTATAATACACACTTTTTTTCTATAAAAATAACCATCAAAATAGCAGTGCGTATTATATGCGGTTTCTATTGTTTTTGAAGCATGTCCTAATTTACATACGTTAAAAACACAGCAAAGAAAGTAACAAAAGCCTAGTAGTAATTGGTCTTTATTAGCTTGAGTTAAATAATCTACAGATGAAACATTTTCAATTTTGATCCACAAACGCAACAAAGGAAGTAATGAAAGCCTAGTTGTAATTGGTCTTTATTAGCTTGAGTTAAATAATCTACCAATGAAACATTTTCAATTTTGATCCATAAATAAATTTAGTAGAGTATTTAAGGAACAGCTGACGAGATAAACATTACGACTGTATTACTGTAATCACAAGCGATAAGAAATTCAAAATGGTAACGAAACTTACCACTGCGAAACGTCAGTTGTAGGAAGAATTAACGGTTTTTTTGCTGTGGAAACTTTTTTTTTATGAAGAATTTGGTCAAAAATTGGGGTGCGTATTATACATGGGCACATATTATACACGGGTAAATACAGTAATCCTCTGGATGGGCTGGTTCTTCCTTGGATCTGATGTACCCGTCTCCATGAAATGTAACTTCCTTGGATGGAATATGTTTATTATTGTTTAAAAAGTATCAGCTAGCTCTCATTTACTCCTCTTTGTGAAGGCAGTAAATTCCACTTAAGAGTGAAACACAGGACCCTGGCTATTTCACAAATTACATTCACTTTTGAACACTTTCTAATTTTGAACAATCTCATCCATTTTCCAGGTATTACAATTATCTGTACACTCATAATCTTCCACCAAGGGTTCATCGCATGGTTGAACACCATGGTACATGCGAGGATCTTGCCATGAATTTCTTAGTCGCAGACATCACACGAAAACCACCCATCAAAGTCTTGGCACAGCAAAAATTCCAAGACTTGAACAGCGCAAATACAAGGTATTCCAAGCTGGTGCAGCTCTTTGAACAGCGGCAGAGATGTATGGAGTCTTTAGTTGATATTTTTGGTTATATGCCGTTGGTCAAGTCATATGTTAGAATGGATCCTTCACTCCACAAGGATCCCGTGTCAAATTTACGCAAACAGTACAGGCTGTTGGAATAATAATCACTAACATGGGAAATTCACATAAATTTGCCCTGCTAGTAAAGATGGTTTCTAACCTGAATTTTTTAGTGCAGTTTGGGGTTCCAAAGAATAACCCAGTGGTTCCAAAATTATCTCTGAATGTGCTAAAATTTGACAATGGATGCTGCCATTTTGAAACTAGCTTTGCAATCTGTCAACGCATGTTAAAACCACAACATCCTTTTTAAAAAGATTGCCATGAGATTGAAAGAACAAAATTTGTTAAGCAAGATTCAAAATGACAGAAACCATACTCAAATCTTAAGCCAATTGAGGACAATTTTTGAAAGGCAGGCTCACTCTTTAAAATCTTAAAACTCCATTTTTGCTTTCTATATTCAATATTCAAGTTAAAGGAGGGTGTGCAGAGTGTGTAGCCATATTGTTATTCATACTGGTTTTTACTGTTTGTATTTTATTTTAAGAGATCAAATGGCCTACCAACTTAAAAAAAGTAATCATGTGTGTATGGGTTCAAACAAGGATTAGATGAACTGATAGCCCAAGGGTATGTTTCCAGACCTAAAAAGCTAGATCAAATTTTGAGATTTCAGGACCATGGTGAAAGTGTGTGTTCATCAGGACTGGAGTTGGCATGCATGGGCATTTGTGCTAGCAGGCCAGCTTCATGGCATTGGTTGCACAGGGACATTGCCCCCTTAAAAAACAAATAATCTAGAGTTATGACTTGATTTTAGCTTAGCTTGCAAAAAGACCCACTACACCAAGTGTTTAAGTTCTTCAAGGAATAGAGTGAACTGTGATGTGCGAACAGTCAGGGCCACTCTCAACTTAGAAATGAAATTTTGGTGAAACAAGTTTTAGTTGTAATTTCCTTTTTTTAGTTTCAATTTTTTTAAGAAAGCCAGTTGTAGCTCTTTCAATTTCAAATTTGTAACTTACCAACAGACACCCATAAATTAATTACAAGGTAAAGAAAAACTAGGGAATTCTGAAGAATGGTTCATTTGCGTCTGTCAGAAGTTTGGTGTTCATTAGACACACCCCTCTTCAATCTGTTAATTATAGTTTAATTTATTCATGTTAATGTGTACATTAATTTTTTTTGTAACGATATTAACTCATATTCACTATGTATAGATTTCCAACCCTTGTACATAAGTTACAAAATAGTTAGTGTTTTTAAGTTTGAGGAAATTGTGAACAGATTCAAATTTGCCATTGAGGGAGTTTTACGACGAATTTGGTGTGAAGAATTTAAATGGTTCAATTTATTCAGGTGTATTTCTCGAACTATTTCAGAAAAAATTCTAAAAAATACTAAGGTTTTTTATTTGGATTCTCTATCATGTTCACTTTTGGGGAATTTTTGTGATATTATTATAAATGAAAGTCATGATTGCAGCTGCAAGCCCCCTACAGTTATTGTTTTTTAGGATATTTGAACAGTTTGAATCACCAGTGCTTCATGTGTTTTTTCCTCGGGAAAACTTTTTGCAATAATTAGATTATTGTTTCAGAATTACTGAAAATGATCTACCCTAGCCTTCCCTAGATTTTTTTTCTTTTACCATCAGTATTACTAATGATTCTCATCTACAAAATTATTAACATTGTACATTTACGTTAAAATGTCCAGAAAATGTTTATTGTTTAAAGAAAAGTTATACGTTTATGAATTCCAAAATACCATTCCATTGATAGTTTTTACCGCATCATGTCATTGATAATGTTATGAAGCAGAGGAGAAAAAAAAAAGGTATTTTTGAAAGCGTATCATATTTTTTCATATGTACTGTAATTTTGATACGTTTTTGGAATTGCCAAGGAAGCTTTGTTGAATCAGTTAACAGTAAATAGAGGTCTTTAACCCTTCAACTCCCCCAAGTGTTTAAGACAGAATTTCTCCTTACAATAATACTGCGATATCAATCAGACAAGTGAGGAAAATAAAAGAAAATGTAAATTAAGGAATAATTGGTTGATCCAATACCAAATTCTTCAAACTAACATGATAAGAATATTGTGACACACAGTAAGGAGAATTGGTAATGAGATTTTGGGAGTGAAAGGGTTTAAGAAGTGCTCTAGAGTTATCTGTTGGTTTCTCGGGTCATTCATCAAATTTACTTGGCTATTCTTAAGTAATGGTCAGCGTTGATAACGTAAAAATCACCAGGACCTTTGTAAAATTGGTTCAGAATTTATGTATTATGGTTCAAGATTAAATAAATCTATTTATGCGAGATATTGATCGTGTTCCTTGGGGTTGGGGAGGGAATGTGTGAAAAGTGAGAATATTGGATTAATTCGGTCCAATTTGAAGGGATTTCTAAAAATAATGTCTCCATGTTTTTATTTCCATTTCTAACATTTCCTTAAAGTTTTGGTCCTCTATAGCAGAGGTTGTATCCTCTGGTGTATTATTTTCAATATGAAACATTACCAGAGGGCAAAACATTAAAAAAAAATTATTATTTCTCTAGTTCAGATTTTATGTAGAGTTTTTCCTGGGACATCTCATTGCAGGTCAATGAAATTGTCTGCTATTAGCCTACAGAACAGGTGAGATCTTTTGGCGCATTTAAGGCGAACTAAGGAAAGTGCGAGGCGAACACGAAGCGCGAGTCATGCGCGAGGAGAAAGGTGCAAAAAATAAAAATGTTATGTTCATGATATATTTGTCCTCTCCTCGCGCGTGATTCGTGCTTGCCTTCGATCGCCTGAAAAGTCCACACAAATTCGCCTGTTCTGAAGGCTACCCATTTAACTAGCAAAGTCTATCCGGAAGCAAACTGTCGCACGACTGAAATAAAACTAGAGTGAGGCCTCATGAAAACTATATCCAGATGTTGATTTGAACTGTGTTTGTACAATGTCTTTTGCAGAAGCGAAAATGATAACGAATCCTTCTCTACCCAATGAGCGTGTTCTTGAATAGAAGAACTCTGCTTCTCTGCCACATTCCCATGGATAACTAATTTGACCGCCATCAAGTACTCAAATACGTATACTCTACTTGAATCGAGTATTCTTACTCCTGAAAGAAAAGTAGAGAAAACGTGTTGCACAAAGAAACTGTAATTCGATCAGATGGTAATTCAACAAGGACGGAAGAACTTTGAAGTAGACTTGGTGTAGCAGCCGCGCGATTCAACGGGGCGCGAGAAATCACGCGCGTAAAACAGATAGTCAGCTTCTCGCGCGCATGTTACTTACGTCTGGATAATGCATGGATATTATAGGAAGAAGTGACATATTAATAACTTCTGGGGTGTAAAGGAAAATTCCGGACTTTGACTTTAATTTTTGAACAATAATCTTACATATCCAACCTGCTTGTATCAGTGACGTCACCATTCACGTTGTAAGGAGAGTAAGACCCCTGTGCAATATAGGGCGCAGACGAGGAGGCCTGTGGCTGCCTGCTGATGCCACCTGACTGTTGTGTACTGAGACTGACGGAAGTACGTCCGTATCTGTCCCCTGACAAGCTGTGGGTGGAGTCAGAGGTTGACAAGGTTTGGAGCGAGTGGTTCGAGCCTCCACGCACATTGCCCGCGCGACGACGAGCTGTGAACGAAAGGATAGAACAAATGAGCAAATGTCTGAGACTTCGTCATTCGTGCGTGACATATGTCAGAGGATAAGTGTGAACATTATGTCAAGAGCTAGAAGCACCGCCTGTTACGATTTCGGTTTACATGATCAACGCAACCTTGAATGACCTTTTAAATCAGTACTTAGCAACAACCAATCACAATGTAGAGAATATCGTATAAGAGAGTGATTTCTTACAAATTTTTCAGAGTAGCTTTTTACACACCCGTTGTAAATAAGCGAATACGAGAGTGGAACAAAACAGTTTGATTGAGTCTAGTTCGTTAGAATTCTATCTCTAGTAAACGGGGTAAAGTTTACGAAACAAACACGAAAACCCAAGAACAAACTGCCAGTAATTGAAAGCAGCCCTCCAGAATCAATTAAATTTTATACACTAAAACACATCGCAGTACGAGTATCTTTCAAAACTACTCTATTTTGGATCTCACTTGAAATCACATACATATCAGACTATTTTCTAACGGCTTTCTAGAGTGAAATAGAAGATTGGCACACCAGACTGCGAGTTGAGAGATCTGGTAACGAGATCTAGCCGGGTCGTTGTGTTGTTTTCTTGGGCAAGACATTATACTCTCCCCGTGCCCCTCTCCACCCATGAGTTTAGAGGGGTATTGGTGAACAGTCCTGAAAACCTAACGAAATGCTGGATACGGTGGGGGGGGGGGGGGGGGGGGGAAGGGGTGGTAGTGACTCGCAATGGACTAACATTCTATCTGGAGGGGCTATTGGGGCGAGGGGCCAACAATACTCTTAGTCGTTTCATGTTCTACTCTTCGCTAGGTTGCTGACTTAACCTTTACTTTTTCCGAAGAAAGTTTAAATGTCTGTTAAGTCATAAGTTTCTTCCCACACCTTTATCCTGTTGTTGTTCGCCTGTTCTTAGTAGCGTTCCGTTTGGAAATTCTTGTTTTAAACCAGTAATTCCCCAGTTACGGTCCGTGGTGCTGCTCAACTGAACTGTTGTCACCTATGGATTCAAAATATATTTTCGAGCGCTTTTCGATTGACTGTCGTAAACTAAAACCAAGGTAATGACAACAGCCAATCAGAGGAAAGGATTGTACCCGTAGAAACCGATGACATCTCAAAGTAAAAACAAACCAAGGCATCTGAGAAAACGCGGGCGACCAAGTCGTGTTTGTTTTAGTTTTACATCTGATTGGTGGAGAGAATGGCACGAATTTAATGGACTAATCACAGAGCAAAGTTAAGCAAAGCCAACCCAATCTGGGAATTCCATTGACACTCGACTGAAAATTTCTCCGAAGCGCTTTTCAATTGCGTTTCGCAAAACCAAATCCGAAGTAATCACAAGGTCCAGTCAAAAAAGGTAACAAAACAGACAAACAAGGAACCAAGAGGATGGCAAGGTGAAAATAAATAGACAGCCCGTAGATCGAGGAAATGAGAGTTTAGGGCCTTTATTTCCCTGGTTGAAAAGAGTGGCGAGAAAAATTTCTTAACCAATCGCAGAACGAAGTAAACCAAAACCAATAGATTCCTGGGTTACACCTCAAACACTCACTTTGTCAATTAGCGTAATGAATGCGTTCACATAGAAAATCTGTTTTACAAAACTCATCAGTTTTAGGATTATTTTTTTTTCAGATTAAGTTACCCGAAGCGGAGCCTGGGAACGTGTTGTCACGATTCCTGGGAGACTGGGTTCCAAAGCTGACGTCATGCTTTGCATTCCACTCTAGCGAAAAAAGACCAGGTAAGGGTTTTAAAACATGATCCTTGCAACAAGAGAGGGGAAAAATTCACATCCTGTAACACGACATAATCAGAACGCAAGAAAATGACCAATGGAGAACACATGCGATGGAGGAAGCTGGAGGTTTTCCACGAACCTGTTGTTCCATGAAATACAGCTCGGCTTTAGTTTTCTCGTCACTCGATACAGGGATCCCATCGATGCACAAAAGGTTGGGCATGCGGTAGACTAACAAGGGTCGGTGCAGAAGACGTCGAGTGACCTGGGATCGAAAAAGCACGTTCAAATAGAGTTTTTCAACTTCAAAAAAACACAGCAGTCAAACGTCTGCGCATGCGCGAACCTTGTAATAACTAGGTGGTGTGTTTCAGGCGGTCAGAACCAAGTTGCCTTACGCGAGTTACAAACGACTACACAAGCCAGTAAGTCATGGTGTTTTAAAAGCGTACACTTTTTTTTTGGTAAAGCTCGAAACAGATAGGTGAATCAACAGGATACCCAACCTTGTTCCCAGGGTCTCTCATCTTCCTACCCCCTGGAGCTCCATGGGGCGGGAAGACGAGAGACCCTGGGAACGAGGTTGCAGGATACCTGTACTTGAATAACCTTTGAGTCCGTTAAGTCTCCAGTTTTCCTTTTTTTCTACTTTTGTTTCCTTTTACAGATTGTCATGAACTTAATTCCTTCGCTTATTTTGCAATACAGCAGTTGGTTCTTATGTTTTCCTTGAAATTTCGCGTGTTTCCGTTTTCCTTTGAAAATTCGCGGGAAATCGGCGCGCGCGGCCACAGTTGACCCCTTGCGCATGCCCGACATTTGACTGCTGTGTTTTGTGATTGGCGTTTGATGTGAGGATAAAGACGCATAATGCGATCAAATAAACTTCAATCAAACTGAATGCAAGGACGCGATGAATTCAGTAGGACCATGATTTCACGCGAACCCTGAGTCGCCAAATAATAGACACAAAAAGTCCGAGGACAACCGGCATGTGAAACCTTTACCTACCGCGTTATTTATGACCGAAAGTTCAACCAGGTGCCTTAAGCATTCCAGCTTTTCCAACTCTGCTATGTCCTAAAAAAAAAAAAAAAGATCATCTTCGAAACTTAAAACGAAAAAAGCGTAAAACTGGCTCCCCGATATAAGTAAATGTGGGAAATAAATAATAATAATAATAATTGACCTGAAATAGCCGTGTTTAATTTAGGAGCGACTTTAGGAGACAACTCACTTGAATACGGTTCATTCCTAAGTACAACCGCTGGAGATTTTGAAGAGGCTCCAGGTTAGAAAGTTCTCTTATCCTGCGAAAAAGTCACAAAATGTGAGAAAAATAATTTTTTTTCAAGAGATGTACAGGGACAGCATTTTTTTAGACATCATTTATAACCACGTCAAAAGTCTCTAAGAACGCTAAAGTCAACGACCATCTCATTGGAAGGCTTTTACCCACTTTTCCCAAGGCTGTTTCATGAAATGAAGAGTTCGCATGGCATTTTCCTGCCATACAACGCGTTTTCTTCAGTGTGGTTTGTGAGAGCTTTAACCCTTCAACTCTCACGAGTGAATGAGTTCTAATTTTTCCTGACAGGTTACCCTTAAATCAATTATTAGGGTCATAAAAAGGAAGGAAATAATCATCAATTTTAGAAGCTCCTGATTCTCAAACAAATGTTCCTTGTCAGTAATATAAGAAATATAAAAATAACTGTACTGAGAATATTAATACTGATCTTGGGGTGTAAAGAGCTGAACATATGACTTTCATATATTCCAGCCGTTTATTCATCACTTCACGGGTTTATTTAGAACCAATATAATGACCAGCTCCCATTTGGCTTGTCAGCTCAGTTGGTAGAGCGTTGCACCGGTATCACAGAGGTCATGGGTTCAAATCCCGTACAGGCCTG